GGGCTACTAGCCCTGCGCACGGGTGCACAGGTTATGCACCGCTCCAGGTGCCGGAGCAGCTAGCACCTCCTCTGCCCAGATGTTTAGAAAGCTGATGCGAGTTTTAATCTGTTTTTTTTAATCATTTTTATTGATTTTCCAATAAAAAACATCCAATTAATATATCCAATCATAGTAATCCAATTAAAATAAAAAACTAAAATAAAAAAGACCAATTTATAATCCAAATTATAATTATTGATTTTTCGGAGCTCCCCACAGTCTGGATCTCTGAAGCATATTTCCACATCTCAGTTCTGCCTCTCCTCGTTGTTTCCATATTTTCCACATCTCAATTTGAAAAATTCTCCATCCCTGGTTCTATGATTCTCAATCATATCAAACATCATATATCCTTTCATCCGTCAAATACAGTTTTATGTGTGTGTGTGTGTGTGTGTGTGTGTGTATCTATATATCTATATCTATCTCTATCTATCTATCTATCTATCTATCTATATTTCCAACTGCCTTTTTACCAGCGCAGCTTCCTCTGACTCCATTCCAATCCGGGATGTTGTCCAAGTCAAGTTTAATGACGCAGCAACTCCCAGTCATTGTCCAAACCTTCCTTTTGAGCTTTAATGAACCAGTACCTTCCATGTTAAATTGTTGGGCAAAACTGTTTGCAATATTGCAGTGTAAATAAACTGTATTCCACAAATATAAGCCATTTGGCGACTGATCAATTTTAATCTGTTTTTAAGCTGATTGTTAGTTTAACATTAATAAACTCCAGTCATATTAACGCCTCCCTTGCTCTCTTAGGATGGCAATGGCGCCCAACTGAGAGGTGCCAGAACTGAGTTCTGGCTGGGGGGGGGGGGAGCCCTGATAAACTCTTAATTTAGACTTGCTAATTTTCCTTATTAATAATGTTATAGCTTTATTTTTTAAAAAACAACAACAACCACTTTGATAGTTGGTTTGTTTTCTCAACAAGAGGTGAATAATTTTTATGAAATAAATAAACGCCATTGTTCCCTAAAGCAGGCATGTGCAACCCCTAGATGTTCTTGGACTCTAAATCCCATTATCTTGCATTGCCAGCCAGGCATGATGGGAGTTGTAGTCCATCAACGCCTGCAGGGCTGCGGGTCCCCCATCTCTGCCCTAACTCACCCCCCTCACAAGTTCTTGGGATCCTGGTCGTTGCCAGTACCCAAACAGACATGACAAATGGGCGACCGCATTGAACATTTTGACCTATAAAGACTTATTTATTTTATTCATTAAATTTGCACACTGGCCTTCATCTGTAGATCTCTTGGGCAGTCCACAGCACAGAAATACAATGTGGGTCAGGACCTCCTCTCCCCACGTTAACCACCCTGGACCCACTGTTTGTCACCTGAGGCCCTCCTCTGTGTGGTCTCTCTGAGGGAGCTGAGAAGAGCGGCAACAGGAAAACGGGGCCTTTTCTGTGGTGGCTCCGCACGACTGGAATGTTATCCCCAGGGAAGGCACATGATGACATCCATGACTGCTTTTAAGTGCCAGGCAAAAATGATTCTCTTCAGCCAGGCTTCTGGCCTTTAGCTCTAAAAGAGTTTTAGACCTCGTAACCTCTTTTTTAGTAGGTGGGATGTGTTAGACTGCTTTTTTCTTTTTCTTTTTAGTATACAAATGTTTGCAGCTTTTGGATCTTTTTAGTCTTATGTTGGTTTTAATAAATTTAAAGAACATGGGTTGTATGCAAGGAAATTGTCTTCTCCAGACTTTTAGAAGAAAACCTGAAGGCAGCCCTCTTTAGGGAAGCTTTTAATGCTTAATAGGTTATTGTATTTTAGTGTTCTGTTGGAAGCCGCCCAGAGTGGCAGGGAAAACCCAGCCAGATGGGCGGGGTATAAATAATAAATTATTATTATTATTATTATTATTATTATTATTATTATTATCATCATCCTCATCAGGACTTTTGCTCGTGCCAGTCAATTCCCCCTCCTTCCACTTGCACCCAACCCCATTAAAAATCTGGAGGGAGGTGAAGGGATTAATTGAAATTGTTAAAGATTGGTATAGTATTTAAGGGATTTAAATTTATATAAAGATTCTATAAGGAAAGCAGAAAGCAGCAAGAAATATTAAGTAGAGGTATTGGAGAGGACATCAGTGTAAATGAAAACATGAGACTTACGGTTTTGTTACATATGATTTTATTTTGGAGTTGTCTGCTTATTTTAGAATTGTTTGTTGTAAAGAATGTACATTGGTACCTCGGGTTACGTACGCTTCAGGTTACGGACTCCGCTAACCCAGAAATAGTGCTTCAGGTTAAGAACTTTGCTTCAGGATGAGAACAGAAATCGTGCTCCGGCGGCGTGGCAGCAGCAGGAGGCCCCATTAGCTAAAGTGGTGCTTCAGGTTAAGAACAGTTTCAGCTTAAGAACGGACCTCTGGAACGAATTAAGTACTTAACCCGAGGTACCACTGTATATTATGTGAATTTTAAAAAAATTAAAAATCTGGAGGTTTGGGGGAACCCCCGGGACACATTTGGGAATTGAACAGGGGCAGGAGAAGGACGGGGGAGACGCAATTGCAATTTCACCGGGTGCAACCCTATATGTCCCTCTGCGTGTTTTGAAGATCGCTCTCCGGGGCACCCGGTGAAGAGGGCTCTAATCCACGAAAGCTTATGGCACCGCAGTTTATACCTAGTAGAAGTACAGGGAAACACAGCTGTCCTCATTCAGCCAGAGACAGCTGCGTGCGTCTGTGCGTGTTTGTGTGTGTGAGGAGAGCCAGCACCAGGCTGGAGTGTTTCCAGTGTTTACGCCTCTTCGCGACGGGGGATGCGTGCCGGGTGCTGGGAGACCGAAAGAGAGCGGGGAAGAAAGAGCGGCCTCAACCGGGCAGCGTTTTAAAAAAGAACATCCTTTTCACTGCGTCGTCAAACTCAATTAGAAGCAAAGGTTTTCTCTGTCAAGCTTCCTCTGCCCACCACCACCCGAGCCGGTTCAGGCCTCCATGCGGCCTTCCCTTTTGTGGCGCGGAGCAGGCCGTCCGTGGGGAGCAGGGCACTGTGTACAGTGGATTCCTGTCTCCTCCATTCTGCCGGCATAATGCGTTTTGTCAGGAGAACAGGACAACATCCTGAGCAGATTTGGCGAATTAAAGAGCGCAGCAGGGGAAGGAAACTTGTTGCTAGGTGACTGACAACCGCTGCATGTCACTCCATTTTGACGCCGCCGGAGGTTCTCCTCTCTCCGCCTCCCCCCGCTTTTATCCTCTTGCTCTCCCAGCTCCAGCCTGGCCTTTTCATCGCCCTCCATAATTAACTCTGTTCAGACGATTTCTCCATTTGTCTCCCTTCTCCGCCAAGGTCTCGGCTCGGGGGGCTTCCCGGTCGCTGTTACCTCCACCCGGAGATGCAAAGGATGCGCTCCGAGGCCTGCCATTCTTGCACGCCCTCGCAGGTGAAGACGGGGAGGCAAATTCATGGAGGGAAGGGGCCACAATAATAATAATAATAATAATAATAATAATAATAATTTATTATTTATACCCCACCCATCTGGCTGGGTTCCCCCAGCCACTCTGGGCGGCTTCCAACAAAATACAATAACCTATTAAACATTAAAAGCTTCCCTAAACAGGGCTGCCTTTAGATGTCTTCAAAAAGTCTGGTGGTTGTTGTTCTCTTTGACATCTGGTGGGAGGGTGTTCCACAGGGCGGGTGCCACTACCGAGAAGGCCCTCTGCCTGGTTCCCTGTAACTTAGCTTCTCGCAGCGAGGGAACCGCCAGAAGGCCCTTGGCACTGGACCTCAGTGTCTGGGCTGAATGATGGGGGTAGAGACGCTCCTTCAGGTATACTAGACAGAGGCCGTTTAGGACTTTAAAGGTCAGCACCAACACTTTGAATTGTGCTTGGAAATGTACTGGGAGCCAGTGTAGGTCTTTCAAGACCGGGGTTATATGGTCTTGGCGGCTGCTCCCAGTCACCAGTCTAGCTGTCGCAGTCTGGATTAATTGTAGTTTCCGGGTCACCTTCAAAGGTAGCCCCACATAGAGTGTATTGCAGTAGTCCAAGCGAGAGATAACCAGAGCATGCACCACTCTGGCGAGACAGTCTGCGGGAAGGTAGGGTCTCAGCCTGTGTACCAGATGGAGCTGATAAACAGCTGCCCTGGACACAGAATTGACCTGCGCCTCCATGGTCAGCTGTGAGTCCAGAATGACTCTCAGGCTGCGCACCTGGTCCTTCAGGGGCACAGTTACCCCATTCACGACCAGGGAGTCCTCCACACCTGCCCGCCTCCTGTCCCCCCAAAACAGTACTTCTGTCTTGTCAGGATTCAACCTCAATCTGTTAGCCGCCATCCATCCTCCAACCGCCTCCAGACACTTAATGGCTTAATGGCAGTTTATAGACACTCTGATTATAGCGTGTATATATATATATATATATATATATATATATATATATATAAATAAAAAATATTAGTTTTTAAACATACCATTTTCAACAACAATTAAACATACTTTTACATCTTATTCAATTTTTTTTTTACTTCCATCAGTCCTGTCTGAAAATTTTCCAGTCTAATCTCTTAGTATGCATTTCTTGTTTTCCCTATTACATTTCAAACTCATAACCAATATCTATCTTTTTCTACTTTGTAACACTTAATATATTTCTCCTTACAAAACTTCTTGTAGTCCTACTAGCGTAATTTGTTGATTACAGTTGCTCTTCAAATGATTAATATACTTCTTCCAATCTTCTGTAAATCTCTGGTCCCGCAGGTTTCCAATCCTTCCTGTCATTTTGTCCAATTCTGCATAGTCCATTAATTTCATCTGCCATTCCTCTTTCGTCGGAATTTCTTCTTGCTTCCATTTCTGGGCTAACAATACTCTTGCCGCTGCTGTTGCATATCAGAACAATTTAACAGAACATATAACAGAACCAAGTAAAAATGTTTCTGGTTTTTCTAAGAATGTATATTTCAGCATGCTCTGATTATAGCTCGGTTGGTTTGAGCGTGGTGCTGATAATGCCAAGGTTGCAGGTTCGAATCCCCGGGACAGCTGCGTATTCCTGCATCGCAAGGGGTTGAGCTAGATGACTCACAGGGCCCCTTTCCAACTCTACAATTGTATGATTCTAAGAAATAAATTGTCGACTTCCTTAGATGTTCCCATTTGATTTTTTAAAAAATAAAATAACTTGTGGAACTTTTAATTAGCGCATTGCCGCTCCGACCCCACCCTGCGATGAGGTTTCTCAGGGGAGGATTAGCCGACGTTCACTTTTCACCAGTTTTGCTGAAAAGGTTAATAGTTCAGGGAGTGAAGTTAGTAGCAAACAGAATTCCCCATGGCTAATCCCCCCGCCTTGAAAGGCGAGGGGTTTTTTGTGCTGACAACTGAGGGGGGAGGTAATGAGACTCTAGTACATTCTTAAAGCTCGCTTCATTCACTCCTCCCTGAACGAGGCCAAGCAAAAATTAGAGCCTATAGGTGTTTTCCGTGGCTCTTTCACAAGCAGGCCTCCTGACACCAATTAAAGAGATTATGTCATCTGCTGAAAAGAAAAACCGTAACTTTTGTGTGCTAAAGCCCCGATTAGGGGAGACGGGGTCACCAGGCCCAACAGAATAGTGGGTGACCTTAGCTAAATTAACTTCAGAGCTCAATTCCTAATTAACTGTTTTCAATGAAAGAATGTGTAATTTCAGGCAATTGGCCACAACATTAACTGTTTTTCCAGGAAGTTGAGTAACTAGGCAAGCAGGTGGCACTTTGTTTGGACTTCCACGCAATGCAAAAGCTGCAGTCAAGGAGACTGGCAAGACAGGGGGAGCCAAAACATATGGTTGGGGGAGGCGGGGTGGGAGAACAGCGCAGGGAACAATTGGAAACAGCGGAACTCCCTGCCACCGGAAGGTAGCCGATTTCAAAAATATTCACCAGGGAAGTAGGTGAACCTGTCTAAATTACGCCCCACGAAACATTACTCAAACCAAAATTTGTACTTCTCCGAATTTTGCAGTGCCGTTCTGCAGACATGTGCAGAAATCCACAGGTAACACAGGTAAATAAATCCATAGATTAGTTAAAATAACATACAAGATGTATTATAACGGGGGGAAATAGCTTTGCAAAAATGTGCAGGTTAGGCAAAATGGCAAAGAAATATGTGTGTATTGGGGGAATTTGGTGCTGAAATGCTCTTGAATTTTCACGAGGACTTAAAAAAATAATGCAAATTTGTGTGGAAATGTGGAGAGTGGGAGATTAGAAAACGATAAACTGAAATGGCTAGCTGCACCCCCACCTACAGGGGAGTCAGGGCTCAGCGGTAGAGAAGTTGTTTTGTGTGGATAAAACCCCCGTTTCAAACTTCCTGCACCTCCCTGCCTGCTTGGTCTGCAGATGGAACTCAGGATCAAGGCCTATGATGTTTCTGGGGAGCGAACCAGCCATACTGAATCAGAATAATATCCTGCCTCGCCCTTCACTGCCAGCGAATCCCAGGGCTAGGTCCATCATAAGTGGATAATAAAATCACTGAGATAATGTCAAATCCCCCACGGAACAACCTGAGAGCTTTCGCTCGCTTAATCTGCTCCATCCTAATAATACAACATGATCTCATATAGTTCCACTTTATTCTGCACTTGTCAGACCTCACCTGGAATCCTGTGTCCAGTTAGGGGCATCGCACTATTAGAAGGATACAGTCAAATTGGAATGGATTTAGAGGTTTACCCGGACCCTGAGATCATCGTCTGAGGCCCTTCTTCGTGTGCCTCCTCCATGTGAGGCCCAGAGGGTGGCAACAAGAGAACGGGGCCTTCTCTGCAGTGGCTCCCTGTCTGTGGAATACTCTCCCCAGGGAAGTTTGCCTGGTGCCTTCATTATACACCTTTAAGCACCAGGCAAAAGCATTCCTCTTCAATCAGGCCTTGGGCTGCTTAACATCTTATACCCTTTTAAATGTATTAGTGGGGGAGGTTATTGGTTGGGGAGGTTGTTCTTGGTTTTGTTATGTATTTTGTGTTTTTATCTTGTATTTTATGTGAACCACCCTGAGATCTACGGATGAAGGGCAATATACGAATTTAATAATCGTTTTGAAAGACAGTCAGGGTATCGATGTATACTTAGGTGTACATAGATGTATACATGCACCAGTGCCTTATACAGAGTCAGTCCAACGTAGCTCAGTTTCATCCACACGGATTGGCAGATGTTTCATAGAAGGCGGCATTCCCAGCCGAACCTGGAGATTAACCCCAGAACCTTCTGCATGTTTCACTTTTGAGCGACAGCCCCTCCTGTCTCATTTATGGAAGACAGGTTTCTCAATGGATATGAGCCAAAGATGGCTAAATGGAACCTGCATGTACAGGAGAAGGCTACTCAGAATATCAGGTGCTGGGGAGCTCCCAGAGGCACCAGACTGGCCTTTGTTTCCAGCAGATTTCAGGAGCATCTGAAACGATGACCAGTGCACACCTTTGAAATGTTAGAAAGGTCAGACGTTAGTGAGTGAATTGCAAGAGAAGTTCCGGATTTTTACAAGGTGTGCATCTCCTCCGACCCAGATCCATTTCTCTAGTTGCTGGAGTGTGAATTCCAAGCAGAGCTTCGTACAACTTAACTCTACAAAGGTATTTAATCTCAGCTTTCAGAGCCATTTTCCCAAGTCCCTGAGACAAGGTATGGGAGCCTCCTAGTGTTCAGTTGCGGTTCAGTATATTAAAACACCATTCAGATGCTTATAAGCATCATTCCACAGCAATATTCCTACACAGAGAACTGGCAAATTCAGTGTTACGGGAGTTTCGAGATCATCAAAGGAAGTGTTATGCCACTCTTTCCAGTGCATTGCATCATCGTTTTCCTTGTCACAAAAAGTCCAGCCTTTTGCAAAAGCAGGTTTGTTGCACAAAAGTTGTGGCAAGAGGTCCTACAGGCTGAATGAGCAAAAGAGCATAGGACTGGGTTCTTGTGCTAGATGTGATCTTGTTCAATACATGATTTGATAAGAAGGAGATCCTTGGGGTGGATAATTCCCCCCCCCCCAGTTTGCATTTTGCACTTCCGAAATCAAATCTGCACTTCTGAAACCAAGATGCAAACCCCAGCCCTCTAAAAATGCCACAAACCTAGACAGAAGAGTTTGCTGGGTGGGTTAGCACCACCGTGCTGGCTTCCTAGCAGGTGAGCCACGGTTGCTTACCAAGAAACGGAGGGATGAAGTGGCAGAGAGGTAGGCAGGGTGCAAAAGCCAATTCAGTGTTCCTGCTAGGACTTTTGCACCACGCTGACCTCCCTGCCTCCTGCTAAGCAACAGTGATCCATTTACCAAAAATGTTGCACAGTGGCTCCACCCCACCTGCTAAGCTGTTTCTGGCTAAATTAATGGAGGAGGGAGTAAATCTGGGACGCAAGGTGATTTTGGACTACAACTCCCATCATCCCTAGCTAGCAGGACCAGTGGTTAGGGATGATGGGAACTGTAGTCCAAAAAGCAGCTGGAAACCCGGCTTTAAATGGATAAAACAACCCCACTACTTCTATTTTTTATGCATAATAATAATAATAATAATAATAATGGCTGTTATTGAAATATTTATCATCTGCCTTGCCATTTTTTTAAAAAAGTGTTCCCGGTGGCTTTAAAAGTGCTAGTTTATAGCTATTCACATACATTCAGATCTCTCTCAAGGTCATTATCACAGCCATCGTAACCTATTGCAGATAAAAGACACATCTTTGACTCTACAACAAACATGTGAGCAGACAAGGTCCTTGCCTTGAACAGCACACAGTCTAACTCACAGAGACACAATATTGTCTTCGGCGTGGGAACACAGGGAGATGCTCCCACTCTCTGCCCCTGGGACATAGGCAACCAAAATCTTCACAGAGATATGCAGAGAGGTGCGGACGTGAGATCAGAATCGGTGGCATCATCAGGGCAGGAAGTCCAGGGCCCTAATCAGCAATGGGCCTCTTAAAGCACCAGAGCAGCTGACCACATTTTGGATAGCTCCGTTGGTTAGAGCATGCTGGCACTGATAATGCCAAGGTTGAATATTCCTGCATTGGGTGGGACTCAACCACTCAGGGTCCCTTCCAACTCTATGAAGAAAGTGAAGCCATAAACATTCTTCTTCTTCTTCTTCCTCCTCCTCCTCCTCCTCCTCCTCCTTCTCTTCTTCTCTTCTTCGGCGATCTGTAGCTGAGTAAGATTGTCTTCCATAAACACGGTTTTAACAATGAGTCTGTAAGTGACTGTGGAGGCCAATTCTGGATCCACACATCCTTCCACAGTGGGGACATTGGTTTCTGGGCAGGAATTGATCACGGTGTGGATTTTCCAAGCGTGCCTTTCTCTTAGCAAGTTTCTCCCTTTCGTCCTGAGTTCGAGTGTCTTCAAAGCCCATGACAGCTTTGGTAAAGGCTGTTCTCCAACTGGAGCGCTCACAGGCCAGTGTTTCCCAATTGTTGATGTTTATACTACGTTTTTTTAGATTTGCCTTGAGACAGTCTTTAAACCTCTTTTGTTGACCACCAGCATTACACTTTCCATTTTTAAGTTCGGAATAGAGTAGTTGCTTTGGAAGACGATGATCAGGCATCCGCACAACATGACCAGAGTAAAAAAAATCACATAACTGCAGCACTGATCCAAATCAAAGAGCTGAGACAATCCTGCATGATGCCCAGCTATTATATTTTTTTTTTAAAGTTGAGCATTTTCACCTACTAGGAAATTGTCTTGCCTGCTCCACAAGGCATCATCAGGGGGCAAGAATTAGAAAAATCCCAACCTATTGGGTCAAAATAATTGAAAGTGCATCTTGGAATTCCCCCTTTCTGCACTGAATTATGGGCACACAGGAAACTGTACCAGATCAGGCAAAAGAAGAAGAAGAAAAAGAACAAAGATCCCAATCCTTGGGGGACTCCACTTCCTATTTCTCTCCATTTTGAGATTTCTACTCTCCAACCCCTCCGGCCACCCATCTAATTGCCGCAGACCAAATAACCCCAAGCAGATGACGTCGACTCC